TTGGCCCGCTGTGTCAATGAAATAAGTCATGTGGATGACTCCAAAATTGGTGGTATCGTGAAGTAAAAAGGTTATTGAAGAGATCTTGATCAACTGGGCCAATGGGTCAAGGAGTGGCAGATGTCATTTAATTTAGATAAATGTAACGTGTTACATTTTGGGAAGACAAACCAGGATAGGAGCTACACAGTTAACGGTAGGGCCTTGGGGAGTGTCATCGAACAGAGACCTAGGGATGCATGTACATACTTCCTTGAAAGTGGCAGCACAGGTAAACAGGGTGGTGAAGAAGGCATTTGGCACACTTGCCTTCATTGGTCAGAGCATTGGGTATTGGAGTTGGGACATCATGTTTCAGCTGTACAAGACATTGGTGAGGCTCCTTTTGGAAAAGTGCATACAATTCTGGTCAATCTGCTATAGGACGGATGTTATTAAAACTCGAAAGCTGCAGAAAATATTTACAAGAACATTACCGAGACTGGAGAGTTTGAGTTATGAGGAGGTAGGCTGAGGCTTTTTCCCCTGCAGTGCAGGCTGAGGAGTAACCTTAGAGAGATTTATAAAATTATGAGGGGCATAGATAAGGTGAATAGCCAAAAGTCTTTTCCCCCGGATAGGGGAGTCAAGGAGAGACGGCACAGATTTAAGGTGAGACGGGAAAGGTTTAACAAGGACATGGGAGGGCAACCTTTTTCATAGAGGATTCCCCTTTGTTCTATCCCTTTCTATATGGTGTGCATAGAGTTTTTCGAGTTCCAAGAAAAACTGTGCTTAAATCATTAATTTATATGTACTCCCTACAAAAGCCAACCAACCTATTTTCAGCATGTTTCTATTTAGATAAACTGGAACTAGTTTACTTGAAGTCTTTTTTCAAATTGCTGTTTCACAATTTTTCCACCCAGTTTGTCCTGAAATTAAAAAAAACTCAAAAAATTGTTGCTCCTCATCAGCAGAAGTGTAGGAAAAGTGCACATGTTCTTATTTAGGCAGAATTAGCAACCTCCATAAGGATCTGCCTCATCTTACAATTCAATCCACCGTATGATTTGGCAGTTAGCTCAGTGGGGTTCTTCTCGTTTCCATTACCTCCCATGAGGGAAGGGAGTAACTGCAAAATTTGTCATGATAATTATTCGTAAAATTAAAGGTAGCAGGCACCACATAATCTCTAGTTTTTCAAACTCCTTACAAATTTATTTACAACATTATTTAGCTTACCCCAATCAATATTAAAATATCATTTACAAAATCACTTTTTAAAAATCAACTACGTTTTTCAATTCAATCCTGTCTGCTCTGCATTGTTTACACGATCCTGCAACAAGGGACCTGAAGCATGCTGTGATTTTAAGACCGATATTTCAATTGGACATTTACGATTTACGTTTAAAAAATTTAACCGAAGCTTTCAAATGATGTATTTAAAGCAAAACAAAAATGAACCGCTTGAATTTAAATGAAACATTTTAATCTCAGGTTCGGTGTTCTTTGCCCCTCAAGTGCGATTTATGACGCTGAATGATTTGATTAGGAAAATAAAACTTGACCAAAATATCGTACAACTGCCCGATTTCTTACTCGGTCCTTTTGCAAACAAAAGGCCCACATCTGCGAACGCTGCCCGAATCCCTCTCCCACAGAAACATCGTACCCTCACATCGTCAACTTCCAAGCAAACACTGGCACAAACTGAGCCCACAGGCCAGCAATTCGCAGATTACAATTTTAACCCGCAAGGGGACTTACCAACATCTTGATCGAATGGATTGGCGGCAAAGAGAGGCATCTCCGAGGATCGTGTATACGTGCGTGCGGCTTGTCGCAGTCTAACTGCCCCCTGGGTTGTGTCTCCAATGTCGGTTGGAACGCCTCACACTCCCCTGACTCCCTCCGCCAGGAATCGCCCCGCATCCGAGCCCGGAGTGACTTTCAACGGCAGCTTCGGCCCCAGCGGCGCACGCGCGCTACCTCCCAGGCCGCGTTCTGTGCCCGGCACGAGCCCTCGGGTTGCGTTCCTTCCCCACTCCGGCCTCAATCCCGGTGGTGTCGGCCCTACCGACGGCTGATCTGTTTCACAGGCAAAACACAGTATTGTTGGGAAATCAGGAGCCGCCTGCACCTCTGCAGCGGAATGGCGAAGAGAAGAGATTAGTGATAAATCACTGACCTAGCAGTGGGGAAGCATAAAAGTAAATGCAATACCGGGTTCGTATTTTTAAGCGTCAGAAAAACTGAATGAGAACCAATTGCATTTGCATTTTATTGTCAACACTCATGCCTCCCCACCCCCTTTCACTGCATTTCCAATCCGGCGAACTGCTAATGTAGCCCTGCGACGTATCTCAAAGCCTCCAGCGGTAAGCGTAGATACTGCTGTCTTTCTCCACCTGTCGGTGTAATCGGGGTCAACGGGCTTCTTCCAGCTGAAAGAGCGAAAATCGGGCATGATGCCAACGAATGCTCCCTTTACAAACGCATTAAAATAAAACTATTTTCTTTTTAAATAAATACCAAACCCTGTAAAAGAACAAAACACGAGGATTACGGTGAAAGTAAATGACACTGTCCCGCGGGTTACTTGTGATAAGTAAAACAAAGAAGGGTCTAGGCCCGAAACGTCCGCCTTCCTGCTCCTATGATGCTGCTTGACCTGCTGTGTTCTTCCAGCTCTACACCTTGTTATCTCAGATTCTCCAGCATCTGCAGTTCCTACTATCTCCGATCATTGTCTTTAGCAGTAGACGATATTGAAGGTAATCAATGCAAAAAAAGTCTCATCCCATTTTTATCTCTTCCAATTTACATTAAAATGTTGAATTTTCGCATTAAATTTGTTGCAATGCGTTTTATTTTACACGCAATGATTACCAATTGATACATTTTATAGCTTTAACAAAGGAAAGTAAGAAGTATTTTCAACAACAGGGTAGGAAAGCGGACGTGAGAAGTATCGAATCAGTCATGACCTTATTGCATCTTCTTCGGCGCGAGGGACCAAAACCACTTTCAAATTTTCTTATTTAAATTTAAATCAGAAAGGCACCACCCGTTACTAAAGCCTCTATATGAAGAGGGCAGACTTTTTGAATCTATTCCGCATAATTTTGCAAATCGAGTACTACTCAATTTAAATACTGGCTAACAGTCAAAAGTGTAAAAGTAATGAAGTGGGTGTGTTCTTACAGCCCTGTTTTAATGTTTAGGGTGAGTTTTCTTCAAAGAGAGGTACTAGCTCTGGTGTCCAGGTCTTCAGTACTGCTACTTGGATATAATCAGGACTTTTGCTGTCTCTGGTGCTCTTCAGCTGTTTTGTAATGCGGAGTGAATCAAATTCCCCAAATACTGATATTTCTGAAGAAAGGAACTTTGGAGCCTAGAAATGATTACAAACACAATTCAGGTGAGAGTTTGGGACTGTTCTCCTTGGAGACAAGGTTAAGAGATCTGACAGAAATTTTCAAAATTATGAAGATCTGAATAGACTAATTAGGAAGAAGCTGATGCCACACTTAAAAGGATCGAGAATGAGAGGGCACAGATTTGAAATGATTTGCAAACATAGCCAAAGTGATGTGAGAAAAAAATGCTTTCACATAGCAAGGTGTTTGGGTCTGGACTGCACTGTCTGCAATTATGGTGAAGGCAGAGTCAATTGAGGTATTCAAGAGAACATTGTATTTGAATAGAACCAATGTGTGAGGGTATGGGGAAATGCAAGTAAATGGCATTCAGTCATAATGCTCATTGGAGAGCCAGTGCAGCCATGTTGGATGCAATGGCCTCAAAGAATCATACAGGCCCATAGTCTTGAATGTTGTGACATTTCAAGGCTCATTGGAGTATTTTTTTAAAAGTTGTGAGGTTTGCCACCTCAACTACCCTCTCAGGCAATGCATTCCAGATGCCCACCACTCTCTGGGTAAGATTCTTTTTCCTCACAACCCCTCTAAACCTCCTGTTAAAATTATGCCCCTGTCATTGACCCTTCAACAGAAGGGAACAGCTGGCTTCTAACCTAATATATACGTCTATCAGGTCCCCCTTCAATGTTTTCTTTGGGGCAGAGAACAACCCAAACTTATCCAACCTCTCTTCATAGCTAAAGTGTTCCATCCCTGGCAACATCCTGGTGAATCTTCTCTGCACCCCTTCCAGTACAATCACATCCTTTCTATTGCGTGGTGAGCAGAACTACATATCTGTGGCCTAACCAAAGTCTTATACAGCTCCAACATATCCTCCCTACTCTTATAATCTGTGTTTTGACTGATAAAGGCAAGTATTCTATGTGCCTATTAACTTGCCCTGCTGCCTTCAGATATTTGTGGACCAACATCCAAAATCCCTCTGTTCCTCAGAACTTCCTCGTGTCCTGCCAGTCATTGAGTACTCCTTTGTTTTGTTAGTTCTTCCAAAGTGCATCACCTCACATGTATTAGTGTTAAATTTCATCTGCCACTGATTTATCAATCTGACCAATCCTTTTATATCCTCCTGCAACCTAAGACCACCACCTTCACTGTCAACCAACCTTCCAATCTTTGTGTCACCTGCAAACTTACTTATCACCTTCCCGACACTCTCCTCTATATCGTTTATATGTAAATATATTAGAAACCATAAGGGATCCAGCTTTGATCCCTGTGGTACACCATTGGTCTCCAGTCATACAAAAATCTTCTCCCATCACCCTCTGTCTCCTGACACTCTGCCAGTTTTGGATCCATCTTGCCAAATTACCCTAGATCCAAGAGCATTTGCCTTCTTTATCAGTCTCCTATGTGGGACCTTTTCAAAAGCTTTGCTGAAACCCATATAAACCACATCAACTGCCCTCCCCTCATCCACACACTAGGTCAACTCCTCGAAAAATTCAATCAAATTTGTTGGGCTTGTCCTTTCTCTGACAAAGCCATGCTGACTATCCCTCTTCAAACCTTGCTTCTTTAAATGAATATCAATTCTCTCTGTCAGGATTTTCTCCAATATTTCCCCAGGATTGATGTGAGACTCATTGATCTGTAATTCCTTGATTTATCTCTACCACTCTTCCTGAAAAATGGAACCACATTATCTGTCCTCCAGTCCTCTGGTACCTCCCATGGCCAAAGAGCAACTCAAAATTTGGGTCAGGGTCCCTGTGATTTCCTCCCTCATCTCCCACAGCAGTCTGGGATATAACTCATCTGGACTTGGGAATTTGTTCACTTTTAAACCCGGCAAAACCTTCAATACCTCCTCACTCCCTATGTTAAACAGCTCAAGAATTTCACAGATCATCTTCCCAAATCCTGTACCTAAACTCTCCTTTCCCTGAGTGAAGACAATTGTGAAGTACCATTTAACACCCTAGCAATGTTCCCTGGCTTCAGGCTTAGATTGTCCCCTTGGTCCCTAATAAGCCCAATTCTCTTCTATTTATTCTCTTCCCTTTGATATACTGGTAGAATATCTTGGGATTCTTCCTAATCTTACCTGTCATGACCCTTCTTTGCTCTTCTAATTGCTTTCTTAAGTTCCCCCTTGCACTTTCTATGTTTCACCCATTGATTTGCTCTCTTTGTACCTGTTATATGTCTCTCCTTTTCTTTTCATCCAATCCTGAATATTCCTAGACATCCAATGTTCTCTGGGATTGTTGCTTCTACATTTCACCCTGTTAAGCTGTACTCTCCCTAATTCCTTTTTGAATGCCTCCCACTGTTCTGCTTTAGACTCACCCTCATGTAGCTGTTCCAGCCTGCTTTGTGACTTTGCTTTCACCCAATTCAAAACCCGTTTTTGCAGACCATCTTTTTCCTTTTCCATAACAAATTTAAAATGTATGGTGTTATCATCACTGTCATTAAAATGGTCCCCTCAAACACCTGCCTGGTTTCATCACCCAGAATTAGGTCAGCACGACGCTGTCCATTGTAGGATCATCTACATGTTGACATTAAAAGCTGTCCTGAATACATTTCAAGAAATCTGTCCCCTCTAAACCCTCTACACCATGACTCTTCCAATTAGTGTTGGAGAAATTGAAATCCTTTAATATAATTACCCTATTATTGTTTTTGCACACCTCAGTGAATTGTGTACATATCTGATCTTCAATTGCCCATAGACTATTTGGGGGCTTATCTAAATTCTACCTACAAAACCTCATTTGCCAATCCTTCCAAGATATCATCCCTCCTTACTGCAGTAACTCAATCCTTAAATAATAATGCAACACCACCCCCTCTCTTACACTCTCTCCTGTCCTGCCTGAAGATCCTTTACTCCAGAATGTTGAGATGCCAGTCCTGTTACTCCATCAACCACATCTCTGTGATGTCAACAACAGTGTAATTCCATGTGTCAATCCATGCCCTTAACCCATATGTCTTACCTATAATACTCCTAGCATTAATGCAGAGGCCATCCTGCCTCGCCTTACTTCCTTGTGGCTCAACAAGTCTGAACTACCTCAGTCTAGGTTCCCATTTTAGGCCATGCCACTACTGAACTGTGTTCTCTGCCCTTGCTGAGCTAGTTTAAACTCTTCCCAACAGCACTAACAAACACTCCCGCAAAGACGTTGGCCCCGGTCTATTTCAGGTGCAACAGTCCGACTTGTAGAGGTCCCATCTTTCCCATAAATGGTCCCATGTAAAACCCTCCCTCCTTCACCAACTCTTGAGCATTCATCTGCCCTATCCTCCTGTTTCTGTACGAGTTGGCATGTGGTACTGGGGATAATCCAGAGACTACAACCTGAGAGGTCTTGCTTTTTAATCTACTGCCTAGCTCCCAGAACTTGATGCAAGACCTCATCCCTCATTTTACCTATATCATTGGTACCAAATTATACCACAACCTCTGTCTTGTCACCCTCCCACTTCAGTATGCCCTTTAGCCACTCAGTGACGTCCCTGACCTGGCACCAGGAAGGTAACACACCGTCCTGGAGTCACGCCACTGGCTGCAGAAATGCCTCTCTGTTCCCTAACTAATGAATCCCCTATCACTAAAACGCCTGCTTTCTTCTTTCTCCCTTCCTTTACGATCAGGTAGCTTTATGGTGCCAGAAGCTTGGCTCTGTCTGCACTCCTCTGAGGAAAAAGCACCCCTACAGCTTCCAAAATGAGAAAGTGATTTATCAGCAGGACCCAGGGCACTCCTGCATTACATGCCTGTTTCTCTTTGACTGCCTGACGGTCACCCATTCCCTTCGTATCTCCAATCCCCTGACCTGCAGTGTGAATACCTCTCTAAACATGCCATACAAATAACTCTCAGTCTTTTTCTATACTGTAAGGATTCTGAGTGTCTGTGATGTGCTAGACTTTTCATAGCCCTATCATGAATCAGCCCTCCTATATTCTCTTGATGCAGGCTAATGGTCATCATCCACCAGTTTCCTGCTTTCCTCTTCCACCACCTAAATTCTGGTAAGTTGCCTAACAATCTTGTAAATATGTACATAACTCACAAATTCAATGCAAATGAGGCCTGACTGATAATAGGGTCCAGCATTTTGCTGTCAACATTTATTACTTTTATATAGCATTTTATTTAAAGTAAAATATATTTACTCTTTCTCCAGTTGAGGGTTAGATTTAAAGTTTTCTCGAATTGAAATAATCCACAGCTCCTATTTTACATG